TTGGACTTCGTGTATGTGACCTGCTGGGCGACTTCAATGACTTCTCCACCAGGTTACGATAAAAGAAAAATAGTCCAACATGTCAAAGTCTTTTATCTACATGGATTATAATATTATGAAAATTCTTTTCAGATTTAAGAATCTTGTGCATCATTATCAGTCCATGTATCCCTCCTTGACAGTTGATGTTGATGACCAACTAAAAAAACTGAAGGTAGGTGTGGGATTTTTGCTCGCCTTGCAAAAGTATTCTTAATCTTTCATAGCCCTTGAGCTTTTTCACAGTTTGCTATATTTTATGGGGCAATGGGAATATACAAATTTATCCCTTTTATCAGTTATTCAGTGTATTTCATTCAGTTTTTATGTAATAGACAAACACAAAACAATACATTATTGCATATTCAGTTCCTTTACTCTGTTCCTCCAAATAAAAATGCAACACAAACATAGGTCCATTTCCCTTCATTTGAGGATTATGGCTCACTTTGTATTGGTTAATCACATTAAACTCCTCACAAATGCATTGATTAAATGGTTTTAATATGAAAAAATTGAGATAATTCCAATAGCTCATGACATAAGGATAGCCACTAATGATTTTATTTATTTACACAATAATATGCACTGGGATTTTTTGCTCTTATATATATGTCTCTCACTCCCTACCTTCACCCTCCATCATAGAATCAGGTCTTTAGATCAGAAATTAGGACAATATTTCACAAACATGGTAAAAGTAGCTTTCACTAACATCAATAAGTTAATCTTTTATATGTGGGCACTTGGAAAACATTAATCCAAAAGGTGTTTGGTTGTGCAAGTTTAAAACATCTTCAGGAGGAGCATGTTTTGTTTTTTTGTTTCGTTTTGGTTTTTTTACTGGATCTAGATTCGTATCTTCCACTATTCCAACATGCCTAAATACAATTACTTCTGAACTTGTTTCTGGTTTTTGTGTTTACTATTGGACTCCATCTGGCCACCTAATCAGTATTAATGCTTTTGAAAGTATTAATACTGCAAAACACCAAGATTATCTCAGTTGGTATCTGGAATGTACAATTTTTTTTAAAGGAAGCAAATGAACAGCACCATGCAACTTTCAAACCTTCCAACTTTGAAAGTTGCTATCAGTCTTGTTTCAACTATAAAAGTGTTTTGTTTCACAAAGGATTTTGCAGAGCGATTGCGCCCAATGGTCAGAGATGGAGTCTATTACATGTATGAAGCTCTTCATGGACCTCCAAAGAAGATTCTGGTTGAAGGGGCCAATGCTGCTCTTCTTGATATTGACTTTGGTAAAAAATCATTCCAAAGTAATCTTGAACACATAAAATAGCATGTTTATACTTAATACCAGTGATGCTGTATTTTTTAGGCACATATCCTTTTGTGACTTCATCAAACTGCACCGTGGGAGGGGTGTGCACTGGACTCGGCATCCCCCCACTCAATATTGGCGATGTGTTTGGTGTATCCAAGGCCTACACCACCAGAGTGGGAATTGGAGCCTTTCCCACAGAACAACTAAATGTAAGATCTTGATGTTTCATCAATAATTTACCATCTGGAAAAATTCGTTTCTACTAATATTGCTAACACCATGTGGGTATTCGTGTCTAATAGTGTGATATCCTTGACTCAAAGGACTCAAAGGCGGTATTTAAGCAAACATTTAAACCCAAAAAAGTATTGTTGGGTCTTATGATCTCTTAAAACAGAAAATTTGCAATTATTTCTGTTGCTGATAAAACAATACAACATTGGATATTAGTTATATTATAAGCTGTAACAATGTTTTCTAAAACACATATTTTTGAATTATTTACTGTTACATAATGCAGAATATTACACCTATCAGGAAATAATTGTGCTCATTAGAAAGGAACACGAAACTAGCAAACTGATATTAGCAGCTTAATTAGTTGGACAATTTGCTGAAATAGTTGTCCTGTACTTGTCTACATAACAAGCTTACTTCTCATAGCTTGCCAATCGTAGCTTTAAATCTGGATCACCTAAATATTAGTAATGGTTGGAAATTCTTTAGTTTTCACATCCAACTGTCTGTGTTTATCACATTCTATGACAGAAAAATGTATCTGCCTCAATGAGGAAAGTTCTCATTTCAGTCATCTGACTGGCAGTGCACAGCAACAGGTGGAGGAGGGACATTGCTAAGCTTTATAGTTCTGCTCTAATACTAAGGTGATATTAATGCTAAGAAATGTACAAATGTACAAACCTCAAAATGTCTTTATTAAACTATGCTTGGAGTATAATAACCTAGTTTGGGCTTTATCTGTCTATGTATTTTAGAGGTTGAATGAAAGATCATGAAGCTTGGAAAGTGGGAAATATGTCTTTTGGTTAGAGCCAAAAGACATATTGCTTTCTTCAAATGCAATACCATCTTCATGTTATAACCAAAAGGGAGAATTTCCTTGATTTTTCTAACTATAAAATCTTATTCCATTGAGACTGGACATACAAATAAGCAAAAAAAAAAATTAATTGTTTCAGAGCAGCTGACTGGTTGATTCTTTTTGCATCATTTCCATCCTTAATCTGAAGAGCATTTTGGTTGGTAAATGGTGGTTAAATCTGCTTTACACTCAGCTCCATATAGTAAGACTAAATAATTGGACTATCAGTCTTTCATTTAAATGTATTTAAGTTATAGAAATGGTGTAATAGCAAATGTAAGAATATGAAACTATCTTTTGAAAACCTTAGTATATGGGGCAGCATTGGGATTTTCAGCCTGACACATACAGTCTGTAATTGTGTAAACAGTTTATTTTGGCTGGTGCAGCTGTCAGCTTTCTCACACCACATATTCTTATGGATAAATTTAGGGCCAGATTCTTGGTTAAGGATATCCTTACTGTAAGAGCCAGAATTATGTTACCTTTTGCAGGAACTGACCTCAGGGTTAAAGGTCTGGATGTCAAATCAGCTTCTTGCATATGTGATGCATAATTGTCTTTTTTTTTCTGTTTGTGTTGTGAAAGTAACTTCCTCTTATTTGAATTGACATTATTCAAGTCCTTGAAATAACAACATAGTCTATTATTTTTTGTTCTCTGCAGGCAGTTGGAGAGTTACTCCAGACAAGAGGTCATGAAGTTGGCGTGACCACAGGAAGGAAGCGGCGCTGCGGCTGGTTGGATCTTGTCATTCTCAGATATGCTCATATGATTAATGGCTTTACTGCGTGAGCACCACGAGAATACTCTTGCAGTCTTACACCATCCTAATTACTGTTTCAAAATATAAAACTGAATTATATTTGAATTAAACTTGTTGTGTCCAACAGCATTGCTTTGACAAAACTTGATATTCTGGATGTGCTTGATGAAATTAAAGTTGGAGTTGCCTATAAACTTAATGGAAAGAGAATCCCTCATTTCCCAGGTAATAAATAGAAAAGATTTGTGACATTGCCTTTGACAATACCCCATCTAAAGATTGAGAATGCCTGCTCTGTTTTAATTACAGCCAACATGGACATTTTGCACAAAGTGGAGGTAGAATATGAGACCTTCCCGGGTTGGAAGACAGACACATCTGCAGCCAGGAAGTGGAATGATCTCCCAGCCAAGGCACAGAACTACATTCGTTTCATTGAGAACCACATCGGAGTCCCTAGTATGTCTGACACGAAAATCCTAAATCTTCAAACTTCAGTTTCCACTAGAGTTCAAAGATTAACAATTAATGTTCTCTAGTAGGAGACACAATTACCAAATTCATTCAACTTTTGATGATGACTTTTATAGCTCCTTTTGATCATCTGTTTCTCTATCTCATTCCAGTCAAGTGGGTTGGTGTTGGAAAGTCCAGAGAGTGCATGATCCAGATGTTCTAAACTAAAATTCAACTCACAGAAGAAAGGACTGGCACAAAGGGGCATGTTTTAGCCACAATAAAATGTTCTCTTTGAAAAAAATAATAAAAAAAGATGTGTATACAACAAATGTAATGTGTCGATTAAGTCTTTTCTGAGCCGATCAAACATACCCGTTTTTGAAGGTGCTACAATGAGCAGCAAGATATAGTTGGTAGCTTTGAAGAATGTCCTTAAAGCTAGCAACAAAGTTTCTATTTATCTGAACTAATATATACGTATATAAGAATCTCAAAGCTTGATGAACTAAATTATAATCTTAACTAAATTATAATCTTAACTAAATTATAATCTAACCCTACATTGAATTTTCCTACAAAATTTTTTCCTGATGTGTCTGAAACTCTGACATCTTTGTAGATTTGTATTAATATTGAAAGTAAATTGGACAATATTTACTAGTTAGATGATTTCTAACTCCTTGATTGGCTGCACTAGAATTCAGGGGTATCTGAGTGTAGCTGGATTAATACAAATGCTGTATTTTTTTAGAACTCTTTGTAAAATATTTTCAAAACTACAACTCATTTTCCTCTCACTTTATTGCCCACTTTTATTGGTCTTCCACATACAATTAAAAGAAAATGTTCAAGTTTCAGTGCCTTATATATAATACATTTCAGTTACTATTTGGTATTATAAAAATACAAATACCAAATTTGTATTTAATACCAATTATTTATTAGAGAAATGGTCATGCTAATTGTTTGTTGTTGCCTTTACTTTAGTAATGTTCCTCATCTCGCCTTTGACTCCTTAATCGTAAAACAATTTTATGTTCAAAATTTAAGTTGTGCTCTTCAGTTTCCAAATATTTCCAGTGTTAAAGGATTTTAAAGCTTTAAATAAAGCGTTTTTGATTCGTTTTCTCAAAAGATCTGAAAGCCAATTTTGAAAGGTAAAAAAAATCCCAGCGTAAACAGTTACTACATTTTCGACGGCCCACAAATGCAACGTCGTGTCCTGAAATGGTGTTTAAAAGTTGATCACATGGCACAAGAGCAGCGATCTGAGATTGGAGTTTTGTTGTCACGTGACGATAAGGTTCTGTTTGTGATTGGCTGCTTTTTGGCTCCTGCCATTTTTCCCGCAATAAACAAGTCTGGGGGTGTTAGCCTAGCTATACACAGGGAACTTTGCACATTTACCAGCTAAAATGCCCAAACGAGCTTACCCTTTTCCTGAATCCTTCTCTTCCCAGTACAAAATACACATCGGGCAGCGAGAGATAAACAACTTTGGAGTGTTTGGAAATAAATATAGGCAAGAAATATACGGTAAGTGATGGTTGTGGACGACTTATCGCTGTTGCTCCGTGTTAGCCACGGTGTTAGCTTCGTTACGCACATTTGCTTGTGGTTCACTGCATTTGCAGCTGCTGTTTACACTCTTGTTTTGTTTAACAGCTGATTGAGTCTCTTGTATAATTGCTTTACCCCCCCACACCCGTCCCCTCCCTTTCTGCCTCTTATAGAAAAGACAAAGAACCTGCTTTTCAATGGTGCGAAAGCTGTAGTGGGGAAAATATGGACTGGAGAGGAGAAGTGCCCAGATTCACAGTTCAAAGAACAACACACTGCATGCAGTCAGACACTCCTGAGAGGACAGACACTTATTGGGCAGGATGGGAAACTCACAAGAGCAAATACTGTACAAGGTAAGTTCAGACTGTAGAGGTCTCATGGTCAAAAATGATGCACAGCAAAGAGATTTTCCATATTAACTTTAAACAAACTGTGAAGAACATCTCATCTGCAATAGACGTGGTGCAGGACTCTATCCTAGGCCAGAGAAACTTTCCTGATAATCATTATAATGCTGCCTGCACAATATTTAAGTTTTCTGTCATACAAAACCAGGCCTGAAACAGAGGATGCAACATGAAGAATGGTTTTGGTTTTGTAAATTTGTGAAGCGCCGTATAATACATGACTCCCACAGTCTTTTGATTCATGCACTTTTTAAATGCATAAAGAGTTTTTATTTATATTTTTGTTGATTTTTTTTACTCCTACCTTGAAGTACTTCCACATATTAGACTTTAGCCTACAACAGTTTGGACAAAGCAGATACTACAGCCACCATACTTCTGTTAAATCAGTAACTCAAAGTCAAAAAAGGGTTTCATCCAAACTCTACTGACTTTTAAAGGCACTTTATGTTCCGATCCATAAATGCTTCACAGTTGCAGGAAGGTGAACTCTTCTCACACAGCGGTTTGAAGGAACATGGTCATGGTGAATGTAATTAATGCCATTTCTGTTGTTTCTACATTCCTGTGCACTGGTATTTCTGGTAGGCACCAGATCCTTCATAAAGTCAGGAACTACAACATTTGCTTTTAAATTTAAGCTTTAGGCTGTGATTCAAACTATTATTTCAGCTGAAATCCAAGATGAAGTGATTGTTTCTTGACATCTGTTGGTTTTAAGTAATTACACAGCGACTTAAATATGTATTACACCAATAATATATATACAAAGCACGGATTGGATGAGCTTACCTGTTTTCCTTTTCTGGCAGAAACATTTTTAAACAGTTAATGTTTTGTGCCAGCAGATGTCAGGCTTGTCTTGTGCTTGCAAGTCTGCAAGTTTTTAATCTCTGAGCCTAAATGGGTGTATTTTTATGTAGGTGTGTCAGCGGCTCCCACAGGCTGCTGTGTTTGTCATAAAAATCAGGGTTCCAGGACGCTGTGTTCCCAGTGTGACAGACCGGCTTGTGCTACTTGTACCAGACAGTGTTCCAGCTGCTGCAGCCCGTGCTGCTCCGTCTGCACCATCGTAGAGTAAGTTTAACTTCTCCCCTGTCTGTACTTATACATTGTCTTGCAAAAGTTTTAATGCTCCTTGAACTATCCGAACATTACAACTACATACTTTTCTGGGGTTTATTGGGATTGTAACAGTGACCTTTCCTGTACAGGTCCAACATGTCAAGCTGTTTTTACCTTGGTATAAATACTATTTATCAGCAAAGGCTTTAGATAAAAATTTAACAGGCAGGTCATGACAAATTTAAAGGAACAAATAAAATCTCAAATCTTGAAGAGCTCACAGATCATTGAGAAAATGGGAATAGGATGGCGCAACTGCAAACCTACCAAAGTATGGTCAGAAGCACCCATTGTTGTGTTTATGGAAAAATGTGGGAAAAGAAACATTTTTGAAAGAAAATACCCATTTCAGCCACAAGTCTTGAAAAGCATACAACTGTGGAAAAGGTTATTTTGTTAGATGAGACCAAATATAAAAATGTTAAAGGGTTACAGATGCATCTGAACGACACTGTATATGTTCGTCTGAAATGCCTTTTTTATATACAATATTTGTTTGGTAATGATAGAAACTAGCAGAGTGAGCTTTAATCTTTGTAAGTATAGCAGAAACATTTTATACTGCGTTTCAAAAAAGGTTTGCTTGTAAAACTTTTACTAGATGGCATTTCTGTAAGTATGGACTGAGGGATGCAGATGTAACTGTCATTACATTTACTGCCAGAAGGGGGAGACAAATCCTCCCAAGGCAGCTTTTAAATGTTTCCATTTTGCTTTGATCCTTGAATTAAAAATGTTCTATCTTTGCTATTTAACTTAATTGATTTACGCAATAATTTTAATTTGAGACCTGAAATAAGCAACATTGCTTTGATAAAGTTGCATGCTTGATTTGCGTTAAAGGGACAAAACAACAGAAGCTGACTGTATTTTCTGAAACTGTTGCTGATAAATCTTCACAAATCATAAAGTATTCAGATAACTTCAATAAATTGTACTTTAAATTATAAACATCTCTCAAGCTTTTTTGCTGTTGTGTTACTGAACCAAACTAACTGAATTTAGATGTTTAATTCTTTTGGACATATTAAGCAGCTATCATCTGATACTTAACATTTTAAACCCTCTTCATTGCAGTTACAGCGGACCATATGATGAAGTGCTATGCTGCAGCTGTTCAACATAAGCAGGACCAACATAAAGGATCAGTTTGGGTACTTGATCATGTAAAGTTGCCCCCATGAGATTTTACAAAGAGGACTGTGTAAACTTGTTTTTATGGTTGAAATGTGTTCTTGTAAATATGTGTTTTATTCTGAAATAAACTTGAATGTTTTTTTTTATTAAATCCATTTTACTTTGTACATTTTATGTTTTATGTTGGTATTGCATTAAGTAGCATACGTTTTAATTTTTCAATTTGGAAATCGATGTCTCAAAGTTCTTGTTTACAAATAGGAAATATGCCTAAAAAACAAAGTCACAAGTTGAAGAATAATTGTTACATTTTTAAAATTCCAAAATTATGCAGAACATAAAATCTACCTACAACAAAAGTATTGACATATTAAAATCTCTTGTTCAAATCTGAATTTGAGTGAATACTAATTTATTTGGTAGTTTACACAGAGAGAAAAGTCATCTGAAAGCTGCAGCTTGGACCCCTAGCAAAGCAACACCCTACAGAGGAATTTAAAATGACTGCCTGTTATTTACCACACAGGGGGAAAAAACATCTGCAACCCATCAATGTGATTTGAAACGCTAAGACTCTACCAGCCTTTATGTTACATTTTGCAGTTTCTGCTCCAGTTCTGACCAGCATTACTCTGATGCTAACAGTGCTCTGTTCTTATGTTTCTCAGAGAAATGGTCAGCAGAATACAGTGGGGAGCCATGAATGAATTGTGAAAGTCACATTTCTCCTGATTGAACTTGAGGCTTTGACTGCACTGCAGCAGTGCAGTTAAAACATAAACAGGACAACACTTCTCAGCAACTTATAGCACTTAATTTCTCCAGATGCTGTTTAGAAAGTGAGAAAGGTGCAGTGAAATATCTCATTCATTTGGATAAATGTTTGCTGAGTAATTATTACTACATGCAATCTTCAGGCATTAGCTGGTGTTTGGTGCTGACAGTAGACAAGACTTAAACCTATGCTGTAAAAGAAACAATGTTCCTACTGGATCAACTATATGATTGTAAAATTAAAACTGCAAGCAGCCCTGTTGTCTGACTGATGACTCCCCGCTGGAGCTATCCATAGTAATTATGGCATAAAATATGTTTTGGACTCCTAGTTACCCAGATTTCAATTGGCGAATAATTTCAGGCCAAGGAGTGTTTCCAGCAGAGAGATCTGTTTCTGGTTGTACAGCTCACTAATGTTCTCTGCATAGTTAATCTTTGCAGCAGAGGTGCTTGATTCATATACTTTCAGTTTTGCATAAAAGGAGTCACAATGCATTCATCTTCATAATCGGACCAATGAGGGTGCCAACTCAATGTTTTCACGTATGGAGGGCTTTTTGTTTCAGAACATTTAAACACAATAACCAAGTTGTTTATAAGGGGTTTATTTATTTCCTGCTATTTGGCACTAAAGTATTTATTTAAAAAAAAAAAACAAGGTTACTCAGCAGGTGGCAGCATACTTCATGAAATCCTTGTTTGAGAGCTGAGTTGTTACAGAGACTCTGCGTCTTCGGATTTTTGTCTCTTTTGTCCAGTCTGAAGACAAACTCCTTCAACCTTTCAACCAAAGTGTTTTATTTTGGCTCGACGACGATAACGAAATTCCCACCCAGCTTTTCTGGATCGACCTTGAGATTTATTTGCTGAAACAAGACAAACGAGCGATAGAACAGAACCAGAGCTTTGAAGCCGCTTTGGCTTCGGTTATCCCTACCGGACCCGACCTTGGGGTGGTGTAGTCACCACTTTGTGTTGGCTGCTGTTCATCACTGGCGACGGCTGCTTTTCAGGGTCAGATATTGTACCCTGTAAATAATTGTTCTCAGCAGCACTTTACAGCAACCAGTCACACGCCGTGCAGCGGATGCCGGCCGGCGTCGTGTTCATCTGCGCTCCGGCTCGGTTCGAGTGCGCGTCGCGGAGCTTATTGCAAATGTGTCTGTGCGCCGTCGAGTCACATCGCCTGCCTGCCTGCTCAGCGGCCCAGTTGTGGCCCGGGTCTTTGGGGAGCTGTTGCAGTTGGTGTCCGAGTGCACTGCTTGACTTCTGGCTGAGTGAGCAGACAGCTGCTGGGGAGCCAGGCGTCAACTTGTCTGCACATTTCTTGATAAGACTTTTAAGAAATTCAGTTGGATATGAAAGACTTGATGGAGATATGTGGCTTTTAAAGCTGCAGTGTTTCTGCTGAATATTGGACATTGGTTATGATTATTTAACTTTTTTTTCTTTTCTTTTTTGAGTAGAATGTATTAATATTCATTCACACATTATAAAAGTTGATAATCTATGTTCCATTGAAAAATTGCCTGTCTTTATTTGAGCACATTTAGTTCATACGGGGGCCAGTCAGGTTTACATAGCCTTGAGTGCCTCAAATATTTGCCTCCCTTACAACTACTATGAAATTAAGTCTTTTTTTTTTTTTTTTGTAATTCATAAAGTAAATCAAAGTGTCGAGGAATTTAATAATCCTCAGGAGAAATGCAACACATCCCAAAGACACATTTATCTTAGGCACTTTAAAAGAAGGGAAAGAGAATAATCAAATGAGGCACATCGAAGTTGATTTTTACAACTCTTGGGTGGTTTCAATAGAATAGCATATTTCATAAACATCTATCGAGACAGAGTAACTAATGAAAGGTGTAAAACCAATAAAACTGATGAACAAGAGTGGACAAAGGATGCTATAGAAGTTCAAAATGGAGGGATACACAGAGATTTTATTAAATGCAGAGGGCACTGCATCTTCTTTCTATCGCTGTAGGTCTTGCTGTTTTCAACTCTGTAATGATGACTTTATGTACCTCCATAAACCAGAGTACAGCTGTTCAAGATGTTTCAAGCACATCCTCATCCTTGACACCAAAAGGTTGCGTGGAGCAGCCTTGCTGAGAAAGAACCCCTTATCTATATGGTACATGAATGGTGGCAAGAAGCAAGGAGGGGCCCCTCATAATCACCCATCGAGCACCAGACAGCACCAACTGGACCGGGCCACGTGGCTTTGTCTTTCACCCATTCTTTTGGCGGACCAGCTGTGGTCTGAGCGTGGCGAGTGTCAAACCCAGTGATGCTGCTGCTATAAATATGAGTCATTGAGTGGATGGAGCGTGAGTTAGTGACAGCTGTATGCTGGACCAAGGACACGCTATCTTGGCACCATTAAGAGAGACGGTCCAAATAAGGTCAACACAGTACGAGAGATTGCTACATACTTTTATTATGGTTTTAGTGTATTTGATATGATTTTGTTCTATTTACAACCAGATATAAGCAAAGAAGTGGGAAGTTTTGTCAAACTTCTGCAAATTACAGGGCAGATATGACATTTTAGAATCATAAAACCTAAAATGTTAAAAGTATGAAAAATCCATTTTAATCTGCTTTTCCACAGTTAAGATGTACCCTATATCAATAGTTCTATTTTTTATGTAGCCTATGTCAGTGCAAAAACATTTAATGATTTCTAATGATCACGTGAAATCAATAATCAATCCTGTGAAACATGTCTAAACCAAATGGAGAAGGGGTTTGACTGCAGTTGTAGTTAGCTTATATACTCGTACTTTCACTTCCATTTCGTCCATAGCATGTAGCATTAGCTCAAAACAGCTGATTGTTGTGGGGAAACTAAAAGTGCTCCGTTGTAAAGTGCCTGTAATTCGTCACAGTAGCAAATGACCACGAATAACAGCAAAATTGTTATTCATAACCCTAAAATTCCTTCATATCGATTCAATTTCTAGTCTGGTTCTGACCAGCATTGTCGCTCTGATGTGTACAGGAATGGGTCTCCACTTTCCTCCCATCATTACATGGAAGCTTGTTTGTAATCTATTACTTTAAGTCTTTTCTCTTGACTTTGCCCTCCCCACTGAATAAAAATATATATAAATATTATTTTTTTAACTCTATTTCAAGCCATCCTTTACTGTTGCTCCTTTGGTCTTTAGTTGCCATCACATCATGTATTGATTTGGTGGCTGAAATGCAACACCACTACTAATGGACGACTGCCTTTTTTTATTTTTTCTCACACTGGGATTAATATAACACTGAATACCACTGAAATGGAAAAGTTGCAAAAACCATGATTATATGTCCTTTAAAATATTGTCTTAGATTTTCTGAAAGTCAAAAGAATGGCTCCTCCAAACATTAAGTGGATGATAACAATATGCATGCGTGAGCCAGGGGGGCAAACTAACACTGCGTATGTGTGTGTGTGTGTGTGTGTGTGTGTGTGTGAGTGTGTGTGTGTGTGTGTGTGTGTGTGTGTGTGTGTGTGTGTACTGTCTGTACACAAGCGTGCGTGCGGACATGTTTGTGTGCCCTTTTCAAAGTGTGACCACCTGTCCTTTGTTAAGAAATAAATAAATAAACACTGGCCCCACCAGCTGTCCCTGGCAGTCCGTCCCTGCAGAGGTCAAGGGCTCCCACCGCTGGCCTTGTTGAGGTGGTGGACACTTACAACTTTCCTCTCAACTTCTCTCAAGTACCTCTAAACACAAACACACACACACACGCACACACAGGAACACACAAAAAGAACCAGGCTTTGAGCCTTGGAGAGGAATGTTTTATTACTCTGTCGAGTTACACTGCACATATCCCAGCTCGTCACCCTGCAGCTAAGCCCCATCACATGGCCCCTGCTTTCCATGTGAATGTGTTGGTTCATAAGAAATGCACACAGGCAGGAAGTTTAAGCTCCGGATCCCTGAAGGCAGATGTGAGATGTTTGGTGCCGGTGAGCGCTCCGAGGCCTGCTGCTACTGTGACTGCTTACAGTAACATTGAGAAGGGCCCTTATTTACAGTGCCATAAGCTGGCTGAGGCTGTTGGGGTGGCTATGAATGATCTTGGGAGGACATTGTTTTCTTTATGTTGGAGCTGGCTGGCTAGCGCCGCCGTGTCGTCTGTTTGTGTATAAAGTGCGTGCTGGGGAGCTGGGCCAGACAATAGCCCGGCTGAGCTACTACCCACGCACACAATAGAGCAGTGGGATGAGGCCGTGGTTTTTTGGGGGCCGTGGGGGCGGGCAGTTCTGGGCGAGCTGGATGCGGCCCTTGTCTATATGGCGTTCTCAGAGTGTGGGTGAGCTGGGATTTGGGGGAGGGTGGTGGGAACCCGAGCACATCCCGATTGGGAT